TTTTCATGAATGCCTATTATCACGTTAAGGAATTTCCCTTTGTTTCTTAATGTGTTGAGTGTTCTTATCATCTAAGGGTGTTGGGTTTTGTGAAATATGTTTTCTTCATCAGTTAATATGGCTATGTGGTTTTTCCTTCGTATTATTGATGTAGTGTATTATGTTGATTTTTTAATGTGTAACTTAGTATTTTATTGAGTATTTTTGCATCTACATTCCTGCCAACTCTCGTCTGCCTTTTTTTCCCCCTTCTAGTCATCTCTGTGAAACCCTGATGGCATAGTGGTTAAGAGTTCGGCTGCTAACCAAAAGGTCGGCAGTTCGAATCTACCAGGCACTCCTTAGAAACCCTATGGGTCAGTTCTGCTCCGTCCTATAGGGTCGCTATGAGTGGGAGTCGACTCGACGGCAGCGGGTTAGTCATGTCTGTATCTGGTTTTGGTATCAAAGTAATCCTAACCTCACAGAATGAGTTAGGAAATATTCTTTCCTCTTCTATTGTTGGAGAAGAATTGAAGTGAATTTTTTAAATATTTGGTAGAATTCAGCAGTGAAGCCATAACGTTTTGGTCTGTTCATTGTTGGGATGAGGTTGATTACTGATTCTATCTCTTGTTATAGTTCCATTGAAATTTTCTGTTTCTTCTAAGTTAATTTAGGTAATTTATGTGTTTCTAGAAATTTACCATTTCATCTAGATTATCTAATTTGTTATCATACAGTTATTCATAGTGTTCTCTTGTAATCCTTTTTATTTCTGTATAATCTATAGTTCTATCTCCACATTCATTTCTGATTTCAGTTATTTGCCTCTTCTGTCTTTGGTCAGTATAGCAAAAGGTTTGTCAATTTTATTGATCTTTCTTAAAAACTACATTATTTTTTCATTGATTTTCCCACTTGTTTCCCTATTCTCTATTTCATTTATCTCCACTGTAGTCTCTATTATTTCTGTCCTTATGGTATCTTTGGGCTTAGTTTACTCTTCTTTTTCTGTTTCTTTGAGATGTAATGTTAGATTACTGATTTGAGATCTCTCTTTTGTAATGTAGGCATTTACCACTATAAATATTCCTCTGAGCACTACCTTTGTTACATTCCCCAAGTTTTGAAGTGTTGCTTTGGTTTTTATTTGTCTCTAAGTATTTTCTAATTTCTCTTCTGATTTCTTTTATTAGTCATTAATTATATTGTGTTAATTTTCACATATATGTGAAATTTTCTGTTGCTGATTTTTTAGTTTCCTTGCTTTATGGTCAGAGAAGATGTAGTTTATGACTCCAATCTTTTTAATGTACTGAGACTTCTTTTGTGATGTAATATATGGTCTATCTTGGGAAATGATCCATATGCACTAGAGAAGAATGTATATGCTGCTGTTGCTTGTTGAAATGTTGTATATATTCTGTGAGGTCTGTTTTATACTGCTGTTCACTTCCTCTTATTTCCTTATTGATATTCTGTCTAGTTAGCCTATCCATTATTAAAAGTGGTATACTGAACTCTCCAACTTTGATTGTAGAACTGTTTCTCCCTTCACTTTTGTCATTGTTTTGTTTCATTTCTCATTTCTTTTTGGGTATTTTTTAAGATACTTTCTTTGTGGTTACCATGGAGATTACATTTAACATCATGGATTTGTAACAAAATTAAATTTTTACCATTTAACTTGAATAGTGTACAAAAACTTAGATTCTATATAGCTCCATCTCCCTGCTTTAAGTTTTGTTCTCACAGACTACATTTTTATCCATTGTGTTCCCATTAACATAAATTTACAAATGTATTTATGCATTTGTCATTTAAATATCATGTATGAAATAAAAAGTAGAGGTATAAACCTAAAATATAATAATACTCGTTTTTATATTTGCATATATAATTGCTTTTATTGGACATCTTTATTTCTTCATACAGCTTCACTTTCTCTTTAGGGTTCTTTCATTTCAGCCTGAATATTTAGGATTTCTTGTAAGGCAAGTCTAATGTAGTGGTAACGAACTCCCTCAGCTTTTGTTTCTTTGGATGTGTTTTAATTTCATCCTCTTTTGTGAAGGACAGTTTTGACAAATGTAGAATTCATGATTGATAGTTTTTTTGTTTGTTTTTTCCTCCAGCACTTTAAATATGTCATTCTACTGCCTTCTGGTCTCCATGATTTCTGTTAATTTTATTGAGGATCCCTCGTTGTGTAATAAGCCACTTTTCTTCCTGTTTTCAAGATTCTCTTTTTGTCTTTGGTTTTTGACAGTTTGATTACCTTAGTTTTCAGTATGGATCTCTTGGAGTTCATTGAGGTTTTTGGATATACAGATTCATGTCTTTCCTCACGTTTCAGATGATTTGGGCTTTATTTCTACAAAAGTTTTATTGCCCCTTTCTCTCTTGTCTTTTGGGTTTGCCCATAATGCATATGCTAATCCACTTGATTATATTCCACAAATCCTTCTGGCTCTATTCAGTTTTATTTATTTTTTCTTTCTACTCAGACTGAACAATTTCAGTTGTTCTATGTCCAAGTTAGTGAGTCCCTTGGTGGCATAAATATTTAAGCAATTGATTACTAGCTGAAAGGTTGGTGGTTTGAACCCACCCAGAAGTTCCTTGGGAGACAGGCCTGGCAGTCTGCTTCCAAATGGTCACAGCTTTGAAAACTGTATAGAGCAGTTTTACCCTGAATGTGTGGGGTCGCCACGAGTCATAACTCAACAGCAACTAACTAGAACGATACCCAACTTCACTGATTCTTTCATCTACCTACTCAAATATGCTACTCAACTACTCTAGGGAATTTTTCATTTCAGTTATTGTACTTTTCAGCTCCAAAGTTTGGTTTCTTTTTTATAATTCATATCTCTTTATTGATATTGTCATTTTGTTTCTACATTGGTTGTCTTTAGGTCTTTGTCCATGACTGCCTATTGCTGTTTTTCTCTAGCATGCTCTGGCACTGTGGGTTGCCACTGCTTTAAGATTGTCACCTAACCAAGAGGCAGTTAAGACATGGGAAAGTTGAAAATGCCACATAGCTTTCCTACTATTTTGAATTCACCTTTTTCTTGACTCTGTGCTTGGTTGTTGTAAACCTTTAACTGGTTCCAATCTTCTGAAAAAGTTGTTTCTACCAGTTTCTGCTTTTTGGTTTGTTGGGTGTTTCCTGGGGCACCAAGCATGGAACTACTTATGTCACCGTCTTGCTGACCTGTGTCCATTTTCTCTCTATTCATTTACTTTTAATATTTCTATGTCTATATGTACAGTGGATTACTTTTAGGCCAAGTAATTTTTTGTATTTTAGTTGTTTAATTTAGACAAAGTGATTATTGATATAGTTGTTATTAACTACCTTATTTCTTATTGTTTTCTATTTGTTGTCCTCTGTTTCTTTTATCTTCCACATTTTTCTGCCTTTTCTTGTTTTTATTGAGTGTTTTGTGTGAGTCTGTTTTCTCTCCCTACTTAGCATATCAACTATACCGTATTTTTACGCACATAATGTGTGACTTTTAGTTTGTTTGCCAACCACACCCACCTCAAGCAAGGTATTTTTGTAAGCATGCTATGCTAATATTTTTTAACAGCAGCACGTTAAAAAATTGGCATAGCGGTGCTTATGAAAATACCTCATGGGAGGAGGGTGCCATTGGCAAAGAAGAGTAGGAGGTGTGCATTATTTGCGTAAAAATATGGTATTTCTTTTTTACCTATTTATAGTGGTTACCTTAGAGTTTATATTATACATTTACAACTAATCCTAGCCCACTTTAAAATTACACTATACAGCTTCATGAGTAGAGCGAGTACCTTATAACAGTATTCCCAATCTGTTTCTCCTATTCTTTATAACATTGCCGTCCTTCATTGCACTTAACTGTAATCACAGAATCTGTGTTGCCTTTTTATTTTTAACAAATTGTTAGATGAATTAGGAATAAGAAATGTAGAATATTTTGTCTTACCCTCATTTCTTCTTTCTCTAATGTTCTTTTTTTACACCTGATTTTCTGACTTATATCATTTTCCTTTTGTTCTGTGAAGAACTTTCTTTAATATATTTTGCAAGACAGGTATACTGACAACAAATTATCTGCAGTGCAATGAATCACTTTATGGCCTTTCTACCCGTGATCTTGTTAACTCTCACAAAATTAGGTGGGACTGTCTTAGTTATCTAATTCTGCTATAACAGAAATACCACAAATGAATGGCTTTAAGAGAAATTTATTTCCTCACAGTAAAGTAGGATAGAAGTCCAAAGTCAGGGCATCAGCTCCATAGGAAGGCTGTCTCTGTCAGCTCTGGAGGAAAGTCCCTCTCATCAGTCTTGCTCTGGACTAGGAGTTTCTCTGCACAGGAACCACAGGTCCAAAGTACGTACTGTGCTCCTGGCACTACATTCTTTGTGGTATGAGGTCCCCCTCTCTGCTCATTTCTCTTTTATATCTCAAAAGAAATTGCCTCAAGACACAATCCAATCTTGTAGATTGAGTCCTGCCTCACTAACATAACTGCTGCCTATCCTCTCTCATTAACATCATAGAGGCAGGATTTACAACACATAGGAAAATCACATCAGATGACAAAATGGTGGACAGTCACACAATACTGGGAATCATGGCCTAGCCAAATTTACACACGTATTTTTTGGGGACACAATTCAGTCCATGACAGAAACTATGCAAATAAGATATGTGGAACTCTTGTAGAAATTGTACAGTCCGCTGATGCAAATAAGGTTCATGGAATCCTTGCAGGGGTAGGACAGTGCAATTAAGGTGCATGGAATCCTTGTAGAGGATTGGTCAGTTTTGCCATCCTGCTAGGCTTAAAAAGAGCCAATCCTAGAGTTTAGAGTGGGACCTCACTACCATCAAGGAGAGCAGTTAGCAGGGTGCATCCTTTGGACACAGGGTCCCTTCGCTGAGAACCTCCTAGACCCAGGGGACAGACAGAGCTGTAACAGTGGAGATGGCACAATAGGGAAGGAAGCAGTGGCAAGCATGTCAGAGTTCAGTCACAGAAGAGCCAGGAGACCAACACGAGACAGCATGGTAATTTCCTAGCTCTTGGAGTGAGGTGGCTACAAAGGGCTTGCCACCCATGGAGAGATCTGAGTGCCTTCTGGTAGGGGGCTTCCTGGCAGAGTGGGGTGCCATTGCACACTTATCATCAGAGCTAAAGAGCTTTGTAACACTTAACCCGAGCAGGGCAGAGGCCAGGCCTGAGCGGCGTCCAAGAACAAGGGCCAAGGCTGAGGGCCATGCTTGCTCGTGGGCACGGCCGAGAAGAAGCTGTCCTGATTGAAATGTATCCTGAATTGTTCCTGTTACTTACAAGTTGATCCCAAGCCTAATTTGTAACCTGTTACTTCCCTAATAAACCCCATAATCATGAGTATGGTCTGTGAGTTCTGTGTGGTCATTGCAATGAATTATCAAACCCAGCAGAGAAGTGGAGAGTGTTGTGGCAGGAGGACGGCTGGTGTTGATTTCTTAAAAATGTTAGAGAGTGGAAGCATATCTGACTTCCACCTCATAAGACTCAGTGTTGGGCTCATCTTGATTGTCCTTCCCTCTTGTGAAGTTAGAGGACCTCTGCCATTACCATTTTACATTTCCTTAATATTTGTTTGTCTGAGAATATATTTTTCCTTCACTTTTAAACAATAACTTTGCTGGACATAGAATTTTAATTTGATAGTCTTATTTCCTTTCAATCCTTTAATATTTCACTCTACTCCCTTCTTGCTTACATAGCTTCTGACACAGGTATGCTGTATTAAATGTTCCTTCTCTGTAGGAACTGTTCATTTTCTCTTCTGGCTTCTTTCAGTCTTTTGTCCATGTCTTTGATCTTCTGTAGTTTAAATATAACGTGGCTAGGTGTACAGTTTTTGTACTTTTCCTGCTTGCTGTTTTCTGAGCTTCTGGATCTGTGGTTTGGTGTTTATCATTAATTTTGTAAAATTATCAGCCATTATTACTTCAAATATTTCTTTTAGTTTATGTCTTCTCCTTCTGGTATTCTCATTATGCATATAGTACACATTTTGTTTCACTGTTCTTGGTTATTTTGTTTCCTTTTTCCTCTTCTCAGTTGTTGGATGTTTCTATTGACCTATCTTGAAGCTCTGTGATTATTTCCTCAGTCGTGTCTAATCTACTGCTGATCCCATTAAAGATGTTCTTCGTGTCTGTTTCAGTTCGATTTCTAGAATTTCCTTTTGAGTTTTCTTAGAGTGTTCATCGCTGCTCACACTACCCAACTGCTGTTGCATGTGGCCTACTTTTTCCTGGGAAGCCTTATCATATGAATCATAGTTATTTTAAATTCCCAGTGTGATAATTCTAAAATCCCTGCCATATCCAGTTGTGGTTCTGATGCTTGTTTTGTCTGTTCAAGCAAAGTTAAAGCTGCCAGTCCTTCAGTGTTTCCCTGTTACTAGTATCTCATCCTGTTTAAACCGTGTACTTCATGTTTTGTTGAGTGTTCTGGCATGGTGGGTCTTATGGTAGGAGGTGAAATTAATTTTTTCCACAAAGAAATGATGATCTGAATGTGGAAATAGGTCTTTGATTTGCGGATAATTTCTCTCCCTTCCATATGTTCTGGTGGTTCTGAACCATAAATATAGAGAGAAATGAGACTGGAATTTCTCATAGTCTAACTGTGGAGAGATAAGTTTAGTGTGTCAGATATTGTTAAATCTATGAGATAAGATGACAACAGTCAGGCAATAAATGCAGACAGCCAAGGGATGGGGTTGATGCCACACTCTAGAGTAGAGCACTGAACCTTGTGTCTCCTCCCTATGAATTCTTATTTCCTCAGGATTGTCACCCTCACCTATCCTTTTTGCAAACAGTGGGGAAGATGTTACCTTGCTGATACAGAATATGTGTGATGTTTTAGGACTCAGTGTTATTTGAGGATGTGGCCATGAACTTTACCCAGGAAGAGTGGGCTTTGCTGGATTTTTCTCAGAGGAAACTCTACAAAGATGTGATGATGGAAACCTTCAGGAACCTGGACTCAGGTAAGAATGGTTTCATTTTTCTGATTTACTTCTTACTCTATAAATTTATTGTACTCATTGACCTTCTTACAGGACTTGTGTTGAAGAATAAATTGTCAGACATGACAGTTATTTTCACTGCCTTCATGGAGCTTAGAATCTAGTAGCTTCTCCATGAAAGTAAAAAAGCTATGTATTATATTGATTATTTCTCTTGTCCTTAAAAGCCTTAAGGTTCTTTATGTGTTTAAGTGTGACCATTGGTTTCCAGGGTCAGTTTAGGGTAAAGAAAGATTTGTGGTTGGAACCTCGTAAGAGTTTTACTGTGTTTATTACAAATTATACAGGACTTTTTGGCTGAAAATTTCATACTTGTTCATCCCTAGAGCCCTTGGAGACTAAAGTATTGGTGAAATGTCAGGAAGATGAGCTCTTTTGTCTTTCCTCTTGAGCACATGTCAACCACACTAATTTTTCTTCCTGGAAAGCAAAGGAAAGATTTTAGGAGAGTAGAAATAGGACTTATCCAGAGTTCCAGTATCAGGGAGCACCAGGAAGGCAAGAATTGTTTGAAGGACCAGCCCTATTGGGACAGAATTCCAAAAAACAAAAAACCTGTTGCCATCAAGTTGATTCTAACTCATAGCAATCTAATAGGACAGAGTAGAACTGCCCCATAGGGTTTCCAAGGAGCAGCTGGTAGATTTGAACTGCCAACCTTTTGGTTAGCAAGTGGCATTGTGGTTAAGAGTTTGTCTGCTGACCAAGAGTTCAGCAGTTCAAATCCACCAGCCACTCATTGAAAACCCTGTGAGTCAGCTCTATTCTCTGTTATAGGTTCAGTCTGAGTTGGAATGGAATTGACGGCAACAGGACAGAATTACATTTGAATAAATCAAGTCAAAAAAATATTTTTTGGTTTGAGGACACTGAACTTCCATACGTAGCTAAGCTGATTTTTTAAAATTTTTTATCCTCTCATCCCTTCTCTGCTTGTGGGAAAAGACCATCCCCATTTCCTCTTTAAATATTATCTTTTTACACATATATTATTTGTAATACCTTTCCAATTTACTCCCCTAGGTATACCCTATTTATATCACCATTACTCTCAGTTGTCATGGAATTATTTCTTAATAAATTTCTTACCCTTTTGACCCTTGCCAAAGTCCTGGAACAGCCAAATGCTACAAAGTCTTTCTTCATACCTGCCTTGTTTGATATAAAATTTCCTTACTGATTTTTTTCATATTGTGAAACTCCACTTAATTACTGGGTCAGTTTTTCAACAGGATAAACAAAAAACCAAACCCACTGCCATTGAGTCGATTCTGACTGAGTTTGAAAAGGATAATAATAGTCAAAAGTTGTCCATGAAGAATGACTCCTGGTCCTCCGTGATAGGAGTAATCTGTGAATTCCATAACACTGAAGATCAGCACAACCAGGAAAAGTGTGTGAGGTAAGTATCATTCATATGACAGTGAGCAGTTCCTCCAGAGTGAGTATTCAGCTGTCATGACATTTCTGTGTGTGTGTGTGTGTGTGTGTGTGTGCATAAAATTAGTTCTAAAATGGTATGTTCACATAATTTTCACAATATTTCCATAAATATGAATCGTATATTTAGTACTTGAGACATATTTCACTTGTACACAATTATCAGAAAACCTTTTTTATTTAGAAAGATTGTGACAGTAATGGTATCACCTTCTTTAAGGTAATTCAAACTATGCAACATGAGACAACTCAGGGCAGAAAACACACATTCATTGTATATGATAATTGTGAAATGGTATCAAATGTAATCTGTCAGTTTGCTGTCTATATTTAACAGAAGATGTATGGCAGAGAGCCCCCATGAAAATAAAGAAGGTAATCAGTATGGGAAAACTTTCAGCTGGATTGCAAATCTTACTGGGTTCAAAAGAATTCCTGCTGAAGTAAATTCTTCTGAATGCGGTGAGTGTGGAAAAGCCTTCATGGATCGTACATTTAAGCATCACATCAGCTCTCACATTGGATACAAACCTTATCAGTGTAAAGAATGTGGAGAAGTCTGCAGTTGTCCTTCTTACCTAAAACCTCGTGTAAGAACTCTTACTGGAGAGAAACCTTGTAAATGTAAGAATTCTACTAAACCCTGTAGTTGTGCCTCACATCTTACTAAATATATAAAAACTCAGTGTGGAAAGAGGTCTTATAAATGTAAGGAATGTGGAAAAGCCTTTATTCGTTCCTCACACCTCAATGCACATAAAAGAATTCACAGTGGAGAGAGGCCTTTTGAATGTATGGAATGTGGGAAAGCCTTTATTCGTTCCTCACACCTCACTGAACATATAAGAATTCACAGTGGAGAGAGGCCTTTTGAATGTATGGAATGTGGGAAAGCCTTTAGCTCTTCCTCATCACTCACTACACATGTAAGAATTCACAGTGGAGAGAGGCCTTTTGAATGTAAGGAATGTAGGAAAGCCTTCAGTAATTCCTCAAACCTCACTAGACATATACGTTCTCACAGTGGAGAGAGGCCTTATGAATGTAAGGAATGTGGAAAAGCCTTTATTCGTTCCTCACACCTCACTGCACATTTAAGAGTTCACAGTGGAGAGAGGCCTTTTGAATGTATGGAACGTGGAAAAGCCTTTAGTCGTTCCTCATCATTCACTACACATATAAAGACTCACAGTCACAAGAGGTCTTATGAATGTAAGGAATGTGGGAAAGGGTTTAGTTCTTCCTCAAGCCTCATTACACATATCAGGGCTCACAGTTCAGAGAGGCTTTATGAATGTAAGGAGTGTGGAAAAGCCTTTAATTGTTCCTCATCACTCACTACACATATAAGAATTCACGGTGGAGAGAGGCCTTTTGAATGTATGGAATGTGGGAAAGCCTTCAGTAATTCCTCAAACCTCACTAGACATATACGTTCTCACAGTGGAGAGAGTCCCTATGAATGTAAGGAATGTGGGAAAGCCTTTAGTCATTCCTCATACCTCACTGCACATATAAGGGTTCACAGTGGAGAGAGGCCTTATAAATGTAGGAAATGTGGAAAAGCCTTTAATCGTTCTTCATCACTCACTGCACATTTAAGAAATCACAGTGGAGAGAGGGCCTATGAATGTAAGGAATGTGGGAAAGCCTTTAGTCATTCCTCACACCTCACTGCACATATCAGTGTTCACAGTGGAGAGAGGAGTTACTAATGTAAGAAATGTGGGAACATCTTCACATGTCCCTCATCCTTTGCAACAGTATACATGTATAGTGGGTACCATCCATCCTTTATCTTTTCTGAAACCTGAAAAAAGAAATATGGCAGAGAAACCATATAAGTGTAAGGAATGTGTGAAAATTTTTCTTCACTACTTTCAATGACATTCATGAATATGGAGAAGTCTTCCCTATTTAACTGCTGGAACATGTGAGAAGTCACACAGGAGAAGCATCGTGTAAATGCAGAGTACCAGGGAATATCATGTGAGATATTACATTCTGGATTGAGCCTGTGAATATAGAAGATGAAAGCCTTCAGTGTCCCTTCTCCCTCAGGATGCCTATGAGACCTCGCACAGTTTAGATACCCTGTAACTGTCAGCATTGAGAAAGCCTTCAATCACATAATTTCCCGATTTCTGCACAAGGATATTTATACCAGGGGAGGAATCTTATCAAACGTACAAGTGGGAAAATTACCACTGCTTTATACCCATGTGCATTAATTTCCACTTTTTATTTTCTGTTAAACACATTCAAGTGACAAATATTCCCCTAAGTTTCCTTTCAATTCTTTTCTAGGACATAAATTTTGATAAGCATTGTTTGCATTTGGTTCCCATTTATATAAAAATTCTCATTAGAAAGTTTCATCAATACATGGTTGTTTTGAAGTGTTTTCTTTTCCTCAGCAAAGTCATGTTTTAATATTTTTTTCAGTGCAAAGCAGCATGTTCTCATTGTAGAAAATTTGATTTGAACTGAAAATTTTATGTTGAAGAAATCACTTAGAATATCACCACTCTTGGTATTTTGTTTAGTTTTTCATTACTATAAATAATGGTTTTAATATAATTGGGATTGTACTGAATGTTTAGTGTACTAGTGAGTTTTTTGTGTTGCATATCATTTCTTCTCCCTGAATACTATCAGGATACCTGGTTTACTGATGATTAAACTGCACAGAAAATTCTGACCCAAAATCATCCCACAAAAGTGCCCCCTTCTGAAATGGTATAAGATGCAGGGTTTGCATGGATAGTTGACTCATTCTGGGACCCTAGGTGATGGTGCCATATATAGAGCCCCACCATGACCTACCTGCTATGGATCTTCTTTCCCACATGCCCACAGAGCCTGCACTCAGTCACTGAGTCTTGTTTTTTGTAATTCTGAACATCTATGTGTCTGTCAGTTTGTTGTACTGTGGGAGCTTGCCTGTTGCCAGGATACTGGAAACTTTGCCACCAGTATTTCAAATACCAGCAGGCTTATCCTAGGTGAACAGGTTTCAGTGGAACTTAGAATAAGACAGACTACAAAGAAGGACCTGGCAGTCTACTTCTGAAAAAATTGGCCAGTGAAAACCTTATGAATAACAACCGAACATAATTCTGATATAGTGCCAGAAGATGAGACCTTGAGGTTGGAAAGCAGTCAAAATATGACTGGGGAAGACCTACCTCAAAGTAGAGTTGACCTTAATGATGTGGATGGAGTCAAGCTTTTGGGACATTCATTTGCCGATGTAGCATGACTAAAAATGAGAATAGCTGCAAACATCTATTAATAATGTGGAATGTACAAAGTATGAAACTAAGAAAATTGGAAGTCATTAAAAATGAAATGGAACCCATAAACATCGATATCCTATGCATTTAGTGAGCTGAAATCGACTGGTATTGGCATTTTGAATCAGACACTTGTATGGTCTATTATGACGGGGATGACAAACTGAAGAGGAATGGTGTCACGTTCATTGTCAAAAAGAACATTTCAAGATCTATCCTGAAGTACAACACTGTCAGTGATAGGATAATATCCATATGCCTACAAGGAAAACTAGTTAATATGACTGTTATTCAAATTTACACACCAACCACTAAGACCAAAGATGAAAAAATTGAAGATTTTTACCAACTTCTGCAATCTGAAATTGATCAAACGTAATCAGGATTCATTGACAATTACTGGCAATTGGGATACAAAAGTTGCAAAAAAAGGATTTGTAGTTGGAAAATACAGCCTTGGTGATAGAAATGATGCCAGATATCTTATAGAATTTTGCCAGACTGGTGACTTCTTCATTGCAAATACCTTTTTTCAGCAACATAAACCATGACGGTACACATGGATCTGGTCAAATGGAATACACAGGAATTAAATTGACTACATCTGTGGAAAGAGATGACAGAAAAGTTCAATATCATCAGTCAGAAAAAGGGCAGGGGCCATTGGTCATATGTAAATTCAAGTTAAAGGTGAAGAATATTAGAACAAGTCTGTGAGAGCCAAAATACAACCTTGAGTATATCCCACCTGAATTTAGAGACCATCTCAAGAATAGATTTGATGTATTCAACACTAATGATGGAAGACTAGATGTGTTGTGGAATGACATCAAGGACATCATACATGAAGAAAGCAAGAAGTCATTAAAAAGGAAAGAAAGAAAGTACCAAAATGGATGTCAGAAGAAACTCTGAAACTTATTCTTGAACATAGAGTTGTTAAAACAAAACGAAGAAATCATCAAGTAAAAGCTGAACAGAAGATTTCAAAGGGCTGCTCGAGAAAACAAAGTAAACTATTATAATGAAATGTGCAAAGGCCAGGAGATAGAAAACCAAAAGGGAAGAACATGCCTGGCATTTTTCAAGCTGAAAGAACTGAAAAAAAATTTAAGCCTCAAGTTGCAATATTGAAGAATTCTACATGGAAAATATTAAGTGATGCAGGAAGCATCAAAGAAGATGGAAGGAGTACACAGAGACACTGTACCAAAAAGAATTGGTTGACGTTAAGTGATTTCAGGAGGTAGCATATGATTAAGAACCAATGGTACTGAAGGATGAGGTCCAAGGTGCACTGAAGGCATTGGTGAAAAACAGGGCTCCAGGAATTGACGGAATACCAATTGAGATATTTCAACAAATGGATGAGGCTCTGGAAGTGCTCAATCGTCTATGCCAAGAAATTTGGAGGACAGCTACCTGGCTAACTGGCTGGAAGAGATCCATATTTATGCCTATTCCCAAGAAAAGTGATCCAACCGAATGCGGAAATTATCAAACAATATCATTGATACCACATGCAAATAAAATTTTGCTAAAGATCATTCAAAAGCCGTTGCAGCAGTACATTGATAGGGAACTGCCAGAAATTCAAGCCAGATTCAGAAGAGGATGTGGAACAAGGGATATCATTGCTGATGTCAGATGGATCCTGGCTGAAAGCAGAGAATACCAGAAAGATGTTTATTTGTTTTATTTATTATGCAAATGCATTCAACTGTTTAGATCTTAACAAATTATGGATAATATTGCAAAGAAAAGGAATTCCAGAACACTTAATTGTGCTCATGAGGAAATTGTACTCAGACCAAGAGGCAGAAGTTTGAACAGAACGGGGATACTGTGTGGTTTAAAGTCAAGAACGGTGTGTGTGAGGGTTGTATCCTTTCGCCATATATATTCGATCTGTATGCTGTGCAAAACATCCGAGAAGCTGGACTATATGAAGAAGAACGCTGCATCAGGATTGGATGAAGTCTCATTAACAACCTGCAATATGCAGATGACACAGCGTTGGTTGCTGAAAGTGAAGATGACTTGAAGCGCTTACTGATGAAGATCAAAGACCACAGCCTTCAATATGGATTACACCTCAACATAAAGAAAACAAAAATCCTCGCAACTGGACCAATAAGCAATATCATGATAAACACAGAAAATATTGATGTTGTCAAGGACTTCATTTTACTTGGGTCCACAATCAATGCCCATGGAAGCAGCAGTCAACAAGTCAAACAACACATTGCATTGGGCAAATCTGCAAAAGACCTCTTTAAAATATTAAAAAGCAAAGCTGCCGCTAAAAGGACTAAGGTTCGCCTGATCCAAGCCATGATGTTTTCAGTCATCTCATATGCATCTGAAAGCTGGACAATAAATAAGGAAGACCGAAAGAGAATTGATGTCTTTGAATTATGGTTTGGCGACAAATGTTGAATATACCATCGACTGCCAGAAGAATGAACAAATGTGTCTTGGAAGTACAGCCACAGTGCTCCTTAGAAGTGAGGATGGCGACACCGTCTCACACACTTTGGACATGTTATCAGGAGGGACTAGTCCCTAAAGGACATCATGCTTGGTAAAGTAGAGATCAGCAAAAAAGAGGAAGACCCTCAACGATGTGGATTGACACAGTGGCTCTAACCATGGGCTCAAGCATAAGAACAATTGTGAGGATGGCACAGGACCAGGCAGTGTTTCATTCTGTTGTACATAGGGTCGCTATTGGAACTGATTTGATGGCACCTAACAAGATTGTGTACCAAGACAAGAGCTGAGGCTGCAGTTGCTGGGCTGCACTGGAACAGTAGCCTCTGATCCTCTTGGTGTGCACACACATGACAGGGCCTGGACAAGCTAGGAGCTCATCTAGGGTTACTTAATTGTGGGGATAACCCAAGGGGTTCTTAGGCCTGGAGGGTTTAGTGCCACTGTGTCCCAGGCTGAGATGGGAGCTTCTTCACTAACTCTTCATGAAAGGGGCCTGGGAGATGGTTTCTGCGGGTAGCAGAAGTCTTCATATTAGACCTTCCCTTGACCCAGCAATTACCCTTGTAGAATCATCCTGTGGAACTCCGTAGGCACTAAGATGGTGCCTGGTGATAGTTAATAGTGATAGATGGTGGAAACCATGAAAGTCAGTGTCTAACAGGAAGGAATTCGTTAGATAAGTGGCCACACAGCAGAATTTTGTACTGCCACTAAAGGCGTTTTTTTCAAAGTTTAGGCAGTCATTCACTTTTGGGATGTGAGTTCAGAAATTCATCACATCTTACACTCAGTAGCACAATGAAACTTCTGAACAGTACCTATCTTCTTTCCAAAAACCTCCCTTGTGCTGCCTGTTTTTAGTCAAACCCTCCGTTGACTGTGAATCCCCGCCAAAAGTCCCTGTGCATATTATGCAGTATATTGTTTTTTGGTCCTTTCACTTAGCATGATGTGTTTGCGAATCATCTACATTGGTGAATCTATTGATAGTTCATCGATTCTTTTGTTGTTTAGTATTCCAT